CCTCCCTCCTGCCTCCCTCCCTGCCTCCCTCCCTCCCTCCCTCCCTCCCTCCCTCATCCCTCCTCCCTCCCTCCCTTCCTCCTCCGCCCCCGGAGGTCTCCCCAGGACTCCAGGTCTCCAGAAGCATCTCGAGGCCTCCAAAGGCCTCTGCAAGCCTCCAGAAGCCCGAAATGGACCGAAGACTGTTAAGCATCGTGAATATCGATCCTCGATCCTCCTCCTCCTCCTCCTCCTCCTCCTCCTCCTCCTCCTCCTCCTCTCCTCCTCCTCCTCCTCCTCCTCCTCCTCCTCCTCCTCCTCCTCCTCCTCCTCCTCCTCCTCTTCCTCATCATCCTCCTTCTCCTCATCCTCCTCCTCTTCCTCATCCTCCTTCTCCTCCCTCTCCTCCTCCGCTGGACATTGGTGTGTTTCCAGTCGGCTGGTGGCGTGTCCGTCACCGCGATGGCTCCGATTGTTTGTTTTGCTGACCTCCGAGTCCTCGTGTGGCCGATCCTGGAAATCTTGAACCCAAAAATGTCGACGCATCGCTCTACCTTGCGCCGACTTGCGCCGAGCTTCCGCCAACTTATGCGGGCGGATCCTCCGCCGTTTTACTCCCGACGGCTTCCGCGAATAAAAACCCGTGCGGCACATCCACGGGACCGCGCGAGGAAAAGCAGGGCGATGCATGCGCACGGGGACACGCACAGACAGACAGAGATGCGAACGGACCGTTCGCGAATCATTCAGGCAGATGCGCCGACGCATGAGGGCCGAAGGAAGAATAGCGACCAAGAAACTCCGACGGATGTCGAAAGATCGAGTACCAGCCAACCCACGCGGGTAGACTGACAGAGCTTGTCCCTCGAGAAGTCGCGACATCGCTGGTTTGTCCTACCGTGGTGCCCTCATGGGGAGCTCTTGGGCCTCTGCCAATGCATGTTGGGCCACTTGGGCCCTCTTGGAAGCCCCTGGGGCACTTCTTCAAGCCATCTGGATCTGAAAAATGGGGAGTGCCAAAAAAGCTCAGAAATCCAAGAAGAAGTTTGACTAAGCTCACCGTGGGGGCGCCTGTACCCAGCCATCTTGGAGACTCTTTGGGCCACGCTGGGGCCATCCTGGCGCCAGCTCTGGGCCATCCTGGAGCGTTTGGAACCGACGTTGGGACGTCTCGGGAAGCGGTTGAGCACCCATGTCCAGGGGACCCTCTCAACCCGCAGGGGGGTTCTTGCCGATTTGTCCGGATGGGCACGACTGCGTGTGAAGCGGCACTGCCTCTGCTCGCGGGCAGAGGGATCGCCGAGGAAGCCGAGAACGAGGCGGGCACGGGCAGGAGTGGAGAGGCAGGGCGTGGGGCAAGCAAGGCAGAAGACTCAAGGATTGAAGGAGAAGACGGACGAAAGGTCGAACGAGGGCGAACGGGGGCTTCTTCCTCCTCCTCCTCCTCCTCCTCCTCCTCCTCCTCCTCCTCCTCCTCCTCCTCCTTTTCCTCCTCCTCCTCCTCCTCCACCTCCTCCTCCTCTGCTCTTTTTCCTTAAAACTAACTTCTCCCTGTCGCACCCCGAGGCCAATTTTTCGGGCGGGCCGGGCGTTTCGCCTGAGACTTCCTCACCATTTATGACCCTGAACCTTAAAAAATGGCAACAGCTTCACAGATGGAGGGCGGGTGGTGTTCAAAATGTTGCCGTCGCCTTGGCGCTGCGGCAACAGTTTGACGGATCGAGGGCGGGTCGTTTTCACAATGTGGCTCTCGCCTTAGCGCCGCGCACATCGCCCTGAAACTTTACAAGACTTTCACGGATTGAGGGCGGGTCGTTCTGAACATGTGGCTCTCGCCTTAGCGCTGCGCCCATTGGTTGTAAACATTCGCAGTAGTTTCACGGATTCCCATGATCAACCTACCAGAAATGGTGTTTTGGAAAGATTCTGGATTACGAGGGCGCAACAGTTACGTTGATTCGCGGTGTTGAAACCCTGGGAATGGAGCTTCTGGCACGGTTCAAGATCGTCAAGACGCAACAGTCAGGTTGATCCGTGGCGTTGGAGTCCCGAGAATAACGTGTTGCATCCTTCAGGGTCTTCAAACAGGGTCTTCCAACGAGGCAGTTCCCTCAGTGGAAATGAACCGCTTCAGGGGCGTATGATGAGAGAGCTTGGAGGGAGGGTTTCTCCCAACATCGTTGATGACTGTTGGATTTACACTGGTCTTCCTCCTCCTCCTCCTCCTCCTCCTCCTCCTCCTCCGCCTCCGCCTCCGCCTCCCGCCTCCTCCCTTGAAAATAAACCAGAGATTCACAAAAAGACGTGGGCTCAGGGAGCTACACGCGCCTCACTTGGCCTCGCCGCTCACCAATTGGCACCCAGGGTCAGGATGGCGTTGAAGATCGCACTCGGGCACATTGCCCTCCGCACCTATGCTGCGATCTTTCTCCCTCTCTCTCCCTCTCTCTCTCTCTCTCTCTCTCTCTCTCTCCTGGCTCCCTGTTGCGCCTACTCACACAAGATTGCCCACCTGATCAGAGTGCCTCAGAGAGTAGCGACTCAGGCCTTGACGAACGCTCCCGAGCAACTTACGCCAGCATAGAGACCCTAAGCACCAACGCTGCATGACACGACACATATACCCGACACATGTCCGGCACGGCACGGCACTCTGTTCGCAGAAGCCCGGCACGGCACGAGACGGCAACTTTTCCGCATTCTGACAACCAGGTGCGGCACATCACGGCAGGGCATGGAGACACCCGGACGCCTCCATCCGCGCGCGACGACGACCACCCGGACCGCCGACGTCATGCCTCTTCCGCACCGCGGGCCTCCAGAGGTCCCGACACGGGAGACCGCTATTCATCTTGAAGCTTTGTTTTTTTTGCTTGCACGTGAATCATCTGAGCGTCTGATGCGGCCGTGGCCGCACAGTAATCGGTAGGAAAATGCATCATAGGGGGTCGAAAGCGTCCCCAGAAGATCCCAGGAAAATGCGGGGACGCTTCTTGCGCCAAAAGTCCGTCGCGTGGCTGTGCTGCGAACGTTGCCGAAAGCAAGTGAGGGAAGACGGGAACGGGCCATGCCACGATTACGATTGATGGTGACGATGGTGACGGATCCCAGCACGGGCCGCAACAGGCCAGAACAGAAACGTTACGATTGCTTCACGACGCGAGGGGGCCTGCGAAGGAGGATGAGGAGGAGGCGGAGCGGGGGGTGGAGGAATGATAAAACTAAGGCTCACTCGAAGCGTGCTCTGTCGACCTAGAAGCGATAAAACTGACGACAAGCCGAGGGTGGGCGACCCTTGACGCAACGCAGCTGAGCATGCTCAGTGGACTGGATCTGGTGGCCACGCATGTCACGCTTCCCGCCACTTGCGCGCATGTGTCAAAGATGCGCAAACTATTCTCTAAGGATGCAGTTGATGGCCCCACCTTGGCGATTGCAACCGGCTTCCCTGGCCCGATGCCCGTGCGCATTCCCTGCTGGAACAGGAGCGAGCCGAGACGGCCGCCGCGCGCATGGTTGCCCAAGGCTAATTTTGGCACAGCGTTGCATCGCCCAACCTCTGAATGGATGGATCGGTTGTGAACGGCGCACCAAATCAGATGCCTGTGCCATCCTGCTCACGCGCAGGCCAACTGAATTGAATATCCAAAGTGCAGGTCGGACCCTAGCCTTCACTCAACGGGACGACGACAGGAAAATGGATGGGCGAATTTCCCATGAGGTCTCACCCCCACGCACAAAACAAGTTTCACGCTGACGCGCGCCTCGAAGACGAAAGCCTAAACAAGGAAACTCGAACTCGGCGTCGCCGAAGACAGCGCGGACACGACCGCTTGCACGCGCGAGCGCGCGCCAAGCCACCACCCTCAAGAGCACGCAATAAGTGTTTGCACAGCGGACCCCAGAAATCAACGCGCAGCCGCGCGTGACCCAAGTCGGAAGTTGCGGAGGAAAACCAGAATGGAAAAATACCAGCATCTATCGGTCCAAAGATTCGCCCCGCATCATGTGCCCAAAACAAGTAAATGTGCATGTGGGTACACGCCCAAGTTTTGAAGTCGCACGCGCAATCCCAACAGTCCCAGGGGCGCACCGGACAGTGAAAAACATGCGCCCTGGAAGTCCACAATCTGTTCCACGGTTTTGCTTCACGGTCGGCCTTGGGTGGTCTCATCGAGCGCTCAAGCCTCCCCAGCCTCGCTTCAGTCGAGCAACTGAATAAAAGCAGCACATAACCCACCGCCGTCGCAATGCGGCATACGGCCACGGTCAGCTCCCACCAATGCCGCCACCACCCTCCAGTCACAATCACCCACAGCATCACTACGCACCTTTTACGCAACGACTCTGGACCGAACTGGCGTTGCCGCCGGCGCTCGCCTCTGCACTGACGCGACGCACCAGTTCGGGCGCGCCGTGCCCTCCGAAGCCCAGCTGTGTCAATGGTTGCGCGTGTGCGTTACGCCCGAGTGCCATGTGCTAGTGCGTTGCCTGCTCGGGTATCCTTGTCTACCTTGCTTGCCCTTGTCTTCAGCCTCCTGGTCATGGTGCGTCTCCCCTCCTCCTCGTGCTGGCACGAGCCTCGCGTGGCCATCATCGCTGGCAGCTGAGATGCGACGAGGACGACGGGACAGCAGAAGGGTGAGGGCTAAGCGGACGACGCGAGCCGATGTGCTTTGAGCGTAACGCAGAATTGTGCTTCTGCTTGTTAGGCTCGCCATGCATGATAAGGTGAACAGCGGCCTGAAAGCGCAATCAACTGCCTCAAATAAAACGGAAACCATACGGACTCGCATCCGCTCAGGGGCACCAACTCGGAGCCCGGAAAAGCGTTCCTCGTCCCAGCTCGCTGGCGACTATGCAGCCCGCGCGCTCGCACCGCGGGTGAATCAGTGAGGGGAAGATGAGGAAGGAGGGAGAGCAAGGAGAGGAGGGGGTAGGGAAATGGACGAGGACGGGGGGCACGAAGCGGAGGAGGAGGAGGAGAAGGAGGACGGGGAGGAGAGGAGAAAGAGGAAGGAGGAGGAGGAGGGGAGGAGGAGGAGGAGGAGGAGGAGGAGGAGGAGGAGAACGAGCTTCTCGTGAAGGACGCGGGTGCCCTGGAGGACACGGGGTCCACAACTCTGTGCTCTCGCCGCCTGCAGAGCCCCTGGGGCCCTCCTACTGGGGCCTCGGGACCGCCGAGGCACGACTCGGGACGCCGAGCCCGCCCCGGGGGAAGGCCGGGCGAGCGAGGTCTGGCGTGCGGCTGCGGGCAGCGGAACGCGCAGCGCGCCGTCGAGCCTCCGAGAAGCGGCCCGGGGGCAGGCCCCGGGGCCTGCCCTCAGCGGCGACGGGCCGGGGGCGGCCAAGAGGGGGGCGTCCAGGGGGGGGGGGGGGGGGAGGTAGGGGGGGGGGGAGGGGGGATGGGGGGGGGGGGGGGGGGGGGGGGGGGAGACGGAGGGGGGGGGGGGGGTGGGGGGGGAGGGTGTGGGGGTCGGGGCAAATCGTGGCTGGCGGCTGGCGCAGGTGCTGGGCCCAGGGGGGGCCAGGGACGTCCGTGAAAGAAGAAAGGGCGCCAATGATATCTGGGGAAATATCATGCCCCACCCATGATGTCCCCCCCCCCCCTATAGTCATCACCCCCCTCTTTGCCGCCCCCGAGCAGGGGGAGGGAGCGGCAGGCCACCTCGCGGAGAGCTCCTTCGGGAGCTCCGGCCCGGATCCTGCGGAGGTCCTGCCGGAGGGCGCGGAAGGCCTCTCCCTGGCGCCCCGCCACGCGGGCTTTGGACTCCACGAGTGCGACGGCGAAGGAGCGCGGGCAGCCCGAGGGCGGCCGGCCGGCCGGGCCCCCCAGAGTTCTGCGGCGCGGGGCCGGCCCGCCGCGGGGCCTTCTCGGGGTCTGGCGGGTAATAGCCGCCAATGTCGACGGGCCTCCCGGGGGGTCGTCGGCATCGTCATCGCCGCCGCCGCTGTTGCCGTGGTCGTCGGCCTCGGAAGAAGAGAAGGAAGAGGGATGGGGAGGGGGAAGGAGGAGGAGGAGGAGGAGGAGGAGGAGGAGGAGGAGGAGGAGGAGGAGGGAGAGGCGCAGGCGGGCCAGAGGAGGAGGAGGAGGAGGAGGAGGAAGAGACGGAAGAGAAGGAGGACGATAGATTTTTGGCACGCTCATCGAAGCGGTGCCTGAACGCGAACTTCAAAGCCAGAGAGACTACGTCGTTCTGTCCTGGTCGCCCAGGCGACGAGCAGCTGAAGGGACAAGTCGCAGATCGTTTGATAGTCCAGGAAGCCCTGCGGCAAGGAGTCCGTGCACCAGCCGAGCGCGTCCCATCTGTAGACGCGTCCCAGGCAGAGGAGGAGGAGGAGGAGGAGGAGGCGGAGGGAGGAGGAGGGACGGGGAAAAAAAGGAGGAGGAGGCGGAGGAGGAGGAGGGAGGAGGAGGTGAGGAGGAAGAAGGAGGGGGAGTAGGAAGAAAACGAGTGAGAAAGGAGGGAGGAGGAGGAATGAGATGAAGACGACGACGCGATGGGGCTCGTTGGTCCCCGCGCGGCGCCTGTGTCTGGCAGTCCAGCGCCACTGCGAGGCGGCACGGGGCGCGGGGACGCAGGAGCGGCGCGAGGGCGGCGCCCGCGGCACGGGACGCGTGACGGGGCAAACGCACAAAAAAACAAAAAGGAGAAAAGAGGAAAAAACGGGAAGTCGGCGGCCGTGGGGGGTGTGGGGGGGGGGGGGGGTGGGGGGGGGGGGGGGGGGGGGCTAGGGGGGGAGGGGGGGGGGGGGGGGGGGGGAGGAGGGGGGGACGGGGGGGGGGGGGGGGAGGGGGGGGGGGGGGGGGGGGGGGGGGGACCCGGGGGGGGGGGGGAAGGCGGGGCACAAGCCCGGCCCGGAGCGCGGAGACGGGTGGGGAAGGGCAGGGGGGGGGGGGCGGGGGACGGTGTAACGGAGATGCGGGGGGCGGCGGATGGCGAAAACGGGCGGGCACCACAGGGGGGGGGGGGGGGGGGGGGGGGGAGGGGCCGGGGAAGGGGGGGGCACGTCAGACGCCCCTGAGCGCCTGAGCGGGGAGGCGAGCGACTAAACGGGTCGGCGAGCGCCGCAACGTCGAGCACCCTGAAGCCCTGACACTCAAAGGATGGCGAACGGCGGACGGGGGAGGGGGAAGGCACGTCAAACACCCTGAACGCCTAAGCCTAGTCGCGGATTTGCGCAGGCCCCCAATGGAGCCTCACCACATTCAGCGCCTGATGGCCTGGCCAATCCTTCCTCAGACTGGGCGGGGGAGAAGAAGCAGCAGCACGAAGGGCCTTCCCTGGCAAGCGATCATCTCGTCGATGATGACGCTCTCGTTCGCCTCCAGCTCAGCTTTGATCCGCGTGAACTGCTTCGAGATGGCCTGCAGGAATCCAGCAGAGGAGCATTAGAAGTAGAAGGAGCCGCAGGAGTAGAAGATAGATAGGGGGATGCACGAGGCCGATGGGGAAAAGCAGGGAGGATAAGGAGGAAGCAGGAAGCAGGGAGCAGAGAGCAAGACGAGGGATGAGGGAGGAGGAAGAGGAGGAAGAGGATGAGGTGAAGGAAGAGGAGGAAAACTTACGATGAAGAGCAGGAGAAAGAAGAGAAGGAGGAGGAATAGTATCAGGAAGAGGAGAATAAGCAGGATGAGCAGGAAGCGGAATGGTAAGAGGAGGAGGATGAGGAGTAATAGGAGGAAGAGTAAGATAAGGCGGCTGATTGGCTGGTTCCCCTCCGTGGGGTGGCACCTGGTGGCCTCATGCACCGGCCCGCGGGAGGCACGAGGGCACGTTTGGAGGGCAGAGGGCACAACCCCACGGCGACTTGGCAAGGCCCCCCAGCTGCACTTCGCACTTCTGGGGGGGGGGGAGAACGCCACCATGGCCGCAGTGAACCGGGCGTGCGGCTGCGCAGTGGAAAGGCCCTCCGGGGCTGCCTCTGGGGGCTGCCTGGCTCTGGGCGCGACGGTGCCACCGGGCGCCCAGAAGGCTGCTGCGGACGTGCGCCTCCGGGGAGCAGGGGGGGGAGGGGCCGACTGCCGCGCCGTCGCGCGAGCGCTGCGCTCTGGGCAGCGAGGGCACGCGGCTGGGGGGGGGGAGGACCGAGGAGAGGAGGAGCAGGAGCCCGGAGCAGGGAGCTGCAAAAGGCTGCGCCCCTGGAGGCCGGGCTGGCTGACGGCGGGCGAGGGCAGCCCTCGCCGAGCTCCTGCCGCCGCGGCCCCGGCGAGACGGCGGCCACGCCTCGCAAGCAGCACCTGCGAGAGCGCGGCCAAGCCGGGGCCGCCGGGACTGTGGCGGCAGCGGCTCGCCAGTGTGCGGCACTCTTGGGGGGCAGGGCTGCAGCGACCCTCCAGCAGGGCGCGGCTGCGGGCCGCTCCGCTGCGGAGGCTCCAGGTGGGCAACGCGACCACTCCGTCGTCTGTGACGGGTTGCTGCCAAGGGATGCGGTCGCAGCGGCCTGGGGCCAGTCCCCATGCTGCGGTGCAAGCGGTAGCCACCGGGGGCCGTGAGGAAGGCGTGCGAGTCCCACGAGCGCGACCGATGGGGGCGGTCAGTAAGAACGCTGCCAGAGGCCGCGGCCGCAGCAGCTGGGAACTCCAGGCCACTTGACAGCGCCCAGTTCAGCGCACGGACTGGTCTCCAGGGGGGCAGCACATTGCAGAGCGCGGTGGCGCCACAATCGACTAGTCAACACATCCACAGCCGCCGCTGCCGCCCGTGTGGCATGCTTGCCAGGATCGTCCACCCGGAGGGGCCGAATACATGTCGAGTAGGGGATCGACTACAGAAGTGATTCACCCCCGAATAATATTGTTCGTACGAGGAACAAATACGTAGCATGCTCGTATATGGATTCGAAGGGTCTGTTTTGGTCATAGATTCGACGAGCAAATCAATTGTGGGGCAAATTGTAGTCGATATCCTACTCGAGCATTGGTGACATCGTACTGCAAGACCCTCGCGATCTTGGGGGGGGCGAAGTCCCATCTGGAGCCGCCCTGGCCACGAGGGGGGAAGCGCAGGAGGCCCCCCGTTGGAGAGAGAGAGAGAGAGAGCACCGGGAGGGCGGCATCGAGCCCCCGAGTGCCCGGGAAGTGCCAGAAGGTCTGTGGACGTCGAAAGGTTTCGGGCTCCCTCGTTCCTTTCCCTCTAAGATTATTTTTCCCTGTCGCACCCCGAGGCCAGTTTTCAGGGCAGTCCGGGCGTTTCGCCTGAGACTTCCTCACCACTTGTGTATGACCTCTCAGGGCGACACTGTTCTGTCCCTATCCACGGCGCCTCTGGTATCGGAGGAAGGGAGCCTCCGAAGCTCCAAGACGCAGTGGATATATGGACAAAGAGCTTGCCCGCACCGCCTGCCACTGCCTGAATGCGTGAGCCAACCCCGTCGACGACGACGACGACGACGACGAAAATGACGACGACCAAAATGACGACGACGAAAATGACGACGACGACGACGACGACGACGACGACGACGACGACGACGACGACGAAAATGACGGGCCAGACTCAACCAGCGCAGGCGCGCCTCGTCCGCGCTCTGCTCGGCCAGGGCCTGCGCCCAGTACATCGCCAGGTAGAAGTGGCTCGCCCGGTTGTCGGGCTGGCCGCACTTGCGGCCTCGGGCACGCCGGGCTCGCAGCGGGGCCCCGGGAAGAGCGGCGTCACTTCGGAGCCTGGTTATCGTCCGCCTCCCTCCATCTCTGGACCCACCTCGGCCAATCCAGCCGCCCCTCCATCCGTTTCGCCGTTCGGATCACATGGCCATCCCTCCGTCCCTCCACCCATCCTTCCCAGCCCCTGGGCCCGTTCCGCTGAAGAGCTGCCGGCAAGACTAGGCACCCAGCCAGGATTCTTGTTGGCATCGAGGAACTTCTCGTTGGCCTCGGATCGACACAAGCAGGGGAGCAGGCGATCGCGACCCAGCCGTGCGAGAATAGAGCGCATGTCCACTTCATATACAAGAGAGGGGCTGCGCAATGGGCCGAAATTTGGCCCATCCCAAACATGCCCTCGACCGACGTTGCCCTCGTGAAGTAACGGGATTCAGTGTCAACATGCTGCGTCGTCATACACTGCAGCGTCAACGCAAAGCGTACGTGAGGACGACCACTGAAAAGCGGGATACAAATTGTTGTGCTAGACACATGTCAACTTCTCAACCGAGTTAATTGGATGTCTGACACACAACAACTAATGCTTACCGTGGGGGGGGACATCAGTAATTCCCAACTATCTAGTCGTGGAGGGCCCGCGTTTTGAAACAGTAGCGCCCTGTGTCTCCTCTCATCCTTCCCTCCCCCTCCTCCCCCTCCTCCCTCATCTTCGTCGTCATCATCAGCATCAGCATCATCATCATCATCATCATCACCATCATCATCGTCATCATCAACGTCATCATCATTATCATCATCACCATCATCATCATCATCATCATCATCATCATCATCGTCGGCAGCAGAAGCAGCAGCAGCAGCCGCATCATCTTCATCAGACTCTTATTCAGTACGGTTGCCACCACCACCACCATCATCAGCATGATATGTATCTTCATCACCCACTTGATCATCAGCAGCATTAGAATCAGCATCAACATTATCACCATCATCAATCATATGTCGTCACACCCCTCACACGTTTCGTGGCCCCATATGGATCTCCACTTGAGGCCCCAATGGCTGCGTTCACATGGGTCCCCGGCGCATATGTCGACACACCCCTCACACGTTTCGTGGCCCACGAGGGGGCTCCACCTGAGGCCACAGTAGCTGCGCTCACATGCGCCCCAGCCGCACATGTCGGCAGAACCCTCACGCGATTCGTGGCCTTATAGAAAGCTCCACTGCAGGTCCCAGTGGCTGCGTTCACGTGCGCCCCCGCAGCACATTTCGGCACAAAACTCCCACGCTTTGTCGCCCCATATGGCGCACCATCTAAATTACAGTCCACCCATCACAAGTTTCGTGGCCCCACAGGGAGCTTCACCTGAGGCCCAAGGGGCTGCGTTCACATGGGCCCCCGCCACACATTTCGGCACACGCCTCACATGTTTCGTGGCCCCACATGGAATTCCACCGCACAAGCCCCCGCCGCTCATTTCGGTACACCCCTCACATGTTTCGCCGCCTCACAGCAAGCTCCACCGAGGGCTCCAACTCACAGGGGTCGCATGCGCCCCCGCCTCTCATATTTCGGCACGCCCCGCACACGATTTCTGAAGACCCCTGTGGCAAGGTTTGCATGCAAACCCACCGACCCCCTGTGGCCTGCATCGGCTTCTGGGAGCCCTCGGCTGTTCTGCCGTTTGTACTCCAACAGCCGTAGCTCATGTCTGTGCAAATTTCTTATCTCCTCCTTGCAGACTGCTGCAGAATTCTCTTCTCCTCGTCTTTCCTCTTTCTATTCCACGAGGTGCTGCAGACTACCGTGCTTCAGCCGCAGGTGCCCGACGGATCCTCGCAGTGGCTCTGTGGCCTGCTTCGCCCCCTCAACTTGGAATGTCGACACCTCTCTGGCATCACATCACCCCGAATACACCTTCCCCGAATCTAGCCTCTGTACTCGGACAACGACTACTCAGCAACGAAACTGGGCGTGCACACCAGAACTACCCACCAACTCTCGCAGAAAAGTCGGGCTTTCTGCCAGCACGGCGGACTCATAGCAACACCTATTCCTTATCCGAAAACCTTCCTCCAAGCGCTTCCGACCGCGGCGGGCCGGGGCCAGGGCCTTGTCCAGACACTCAGCCAGCACCTTCGCCTTCGGGTTTTTCGTCTTGGCGGCGAGGTCCTGGGAGGTGCTAGCGGGACGGGGGTAGCTGATTGCCAGGATGGGTTCGGAGCCACCGCAGCAGCGTATTGGCACAACTGGGCCAGTGAGCCGTACCAGCGCATTCATCTGCCACCCCTTCCACGGATAGCTCCAAACAGGATGTCGTCGAGAATTCGCCGGCACAACGGGCCAGAGGCGTGCTAAGATCTCCGGCAACTGGTTCGCAGAGTACATGTCCATTCCAGTGCGCGCGCGGGGGCCATCCTCTGGGAGCCCCCAAACGAAAAGCACCGCAGCCGACTCCCTGCAAGGTCCTGGCAAGGTTCTCTCAAGTATGCCGGAACTCCCTGGGTGCGGTTTTCGAGGCCCTCCAGATCGCCCCAGGAGCGGCCCAAGGAACCTCAAAGCAGCTCCAACCTACGAGTCGGAATCACGGCCCAAGAGCGCTCGAAGACGCCGAAAATGGCCCCAAGACGACCCAAGAAGCCCCAAAAGAAGCCCCAAGAGCGCCCCAAGAGGACCCCAAAGAGTGCCAAAGAAACACAAGTCAATGATTTCACATATGTGTTTTTCTATGTTTTTCGAGTTCTCGCGTTTTCGGGCTTTCGACGCTCCAAGATGCCCCCAAAGGCCCCCAAGACCGCCCCAAGACGGCCCGAGAGGCCCCCAAGAGGGCCCCAAAACGGTCCAAGAGGGCCCCAAAACAGACCCGAAGGCGCCCAAGATCGCCCAAGAGGGCCCGAAGACGGCCCCAAG